TCTTTCCTTAGTTCATTTTGTTTGCAAGTTTCTAAATACTGAAACGAAATACATGCACGGTGTATTTCTTGATTACTTCTCATGTTTCAACTCGGTACCCCTCTATTGTTTTTGCTAGAACGCTGCAGTCGTTTGGTTATCCCCCTTCGCTTCATGTGTGCAATGGAGATTAATTTTTGCTACGGTATAAGTATGCTAAATTAAGAAGTAGACAGTCAACGGCGTCACTGAATAGTTCCATGCAATTCTTGATGCTGTTTTCTCATCCAATCTGTTTGAAACTCAAATCATTGACATACCGATTTCTCTCCTCGTACGATATTTAAATGACACTGATTACATCGTTATATATATATATATATATTTCCATACATAACTAATACAAACTGGTAGCGTAGAACAAGAACATATCCCACCTCGTTATAGATTCCGCCTCATGCGGTCATCATCTTAATCGTAAAAATACCTTGTATGTGTTCTAATTTTGAACCGTTTTTCCATCTCCCTCTGACAATAAACAGTAAATAGAAACCAATGAACAGGGTCAGCTTAGTGAAGTATTGGGGTGTCACTCCTGAAAGTAACCTTCGCCGATCTTCAATTAACTGGAATGCTGCTCGAAAGCTGAAAGTGTTCACCTTTTAAATGCGATTAAGTTCTGCTCTGCAGAGGATAGAAGCTTCTGTTCAACATGGTATTTCCACCCCCTATACCTCTTTACTGCTCCCTTTGATTTTTTTCAAAGTTTGACTTCATGCTGCTGAGGCTTGGACTCTTAATGAGCAGCCGTGTTCCCTGATTTTTCTTATCTGTCCTGATAGACATAATCTGTGATGGTCATTTTGATGTATGCTTCAGGTTAGTTGTTCTCATCCAATCCTCATAAATTGATCTGAGTGCTTGCCAATTCCGTGCATCCACCTGCTCAAAAACAGACTTATCCTATCTCACATATGTGTCTTCAGAAACTCGTTGGTACTCGGTCTTTCCCGGACACTGACTGACAAGGAGCGTGTTTGTTCTGAACGTTCAAAGGCATTTCGCAGTTAGGTGATATTTTCACACGCTCTACATTCGGTTTTGGAATAGTCTTTTTGCCAATATTCTATGTGGATAATTTTTGACCTAAATCTTTTGCACTGCTTACTAAATCTTTATTACAAATTCAAATAGAAATAGTATATGTCAACTGAAAGGTCAGTATATTTTTCTAGTCCGTCTACAAATACTAGTTTCCAGACAGAACCAAGAAATTCTCCGACATCGTGGTCTCTGTGCACAGGTTCAAGCGGCTTGAAACGTTTACCTTTAGTTTTGTTCGTGTTGCCAGAAAACAGAATTGCAGGAAATCGATCACAACGTTGATTTGGATGAAGCATTCTCTTAAGATACCGCAAACAGTCAAACTGCATTGATGAGCTTTTGCCATTTCAAAGGTAAACTCAGTCCCACATACAACTCTGTGTACTTTTGGCGAACATAAAAATATTAGTTTTATTGTAAGTTACCCGGGTAAGTCCAATTGAGCATTAAAAAAAGTCCTTGATATTGGTTTCAAAGAAGAACATTCGTAGTTTAATTGTGGACGGAGTGACATGAATGGTATTTTCGCCGAATAAATGTTACGGATTGTGTGTTATAGTGCTTCACCACAAAAACCCTCGGTTCAGAATACCGTAACCGGAAATATTGCGAAAAAATGCCTATGCATCACACTTCTGGCTAGCTATTCGTGGTTTTTCAAATTTCAGATCCAGAGGTAGGCAGCGATTTCTCGAGTTTTTCAGTCATCCTATGAAGCACCAAATCGAGTTCCCACTAAGCTGATAAATTCAAGCAACTGATTAACAACCGTCAACGGATGTCTAACAACCCAGAAACAAAAAAATAAATGATGTTGGTGCAGGACGAATATTATGATATAACTGTTCAGGCTTCTTCATCAGTTCCATCTGTTTTATAATTTTGTACACTGATAGATAATGCACGAGTATTTCATAAGCAGACTGGAACTTTTCCAAATCTTTGTGTTGGGAAGTAAAATGAATTCACATTTTCGCTTGGCTTTCCTTGACACACGAGAAAACCATAACTATCTAATGCGGTGACGCAATCTTTACGATTAGCGATACATTTCAAATCGCATACATGTCTCACGTCACCGATAGTCG